CACTGCAGAGGGGACAGCCCCGGAGCCCCCTCGCCACAGCCTGCGCTGCGCTCGGGCTCGCATGTGGAGCAGAAAACCCTAACAACTCAAAAGCATCATCAGAATGGGCGTTTAAATTAAGTCAGTTAAGGTTTTTGAAAAGTTTATTCTTATTTTTAAGCCATCCGACCTCTTCGTTGGGCTATTTTGTAATGCAGGTTTTACTTTCCCTGTGAAGCCACTTTCCCTGATTGCCCCAGCRCAGCATCCCACCATCCCAGAGAACTTGCTCCAAACGTTCCTCGGATGGTGCAGCCGCCTGGCCGAGGAGCACCCTCATCCGCTTTCCAAAGGAAACAAGAAGATCCAGTGATTCCCATTTAGGGAAAACTCCTTGGCCAAGATCCAGAGCTCGGAGCTGGATTTCGCTCCCAGCGCCGGCCGCCCGACCCACACTGGTAAGAAACACAAACAAATAAAAATAAAAACAGCAAAAAAGCCTCACTATTTTTCCCACAGAATTCTTCCCGGCCTCTCTGAGACTATGTATTATAGTCTAGAAYGTATTTTATTCTGTATTTACTCTAGCATAGGAAATAAAGACTATATGGTAGAGTTAAGAGTGGGTTATTGTGCRTTTAAGTAGCCTTTAGTACAGGTTCAGAGACTGGTCTGTAGTTCAGGATTTATCTTTGTTATATTTCTGTACTTACTCCTATACTATTTTGACTCCAAAAGTTTTCTTTATTTTGGTGTATGTGAAAGAAATCCCTTAAAAAGATTTCCCCAAGTTAAGGTTATTTTTGTATTTAATGATTTTTCGGGTAAATTGAATTTTCTCACTTAAAACAGCAGGTAAAATTTAAATGTATAATTTCTACTACAGGCAAATATTTCCTATGGAATTTTTTCCGAGGCATGAAATGTAGTTACTGCTAAAATCACATTTAATTATTCATTTTGTTACTTTGAAGTGCTGAGGGTGATGCAGAAACGAGCCACCCATTGCTAGGCAGAATTTCTTTTGGAACAAGAATTATTTGTTGGAATTTCTGAATGCATTTTGGGTCACCTTCCACATGAAAGAAAGCAAACACCGCCAGCGTGTGGAGATCTGCAGGGGCACRGGTGGTCGCTAGCTTATTCAGCTGGGGAAATGAGAATTATTTTAGCCTAAAGTTACTAGAAATTACTAGAACTAGAGAAATATGATTTTCATAAGCAATACTTGCCTCAGGGGGCACACCCTACCTGCAGTTATTACTTCCTCTTATAATCTAGAAAATAACTTGTGCGCTTGGCTGCTTGCCTGCTCTGGGTGCTTCATAGTGTTGGCAGAGATTTCATTCTCTCCTCTTTCCCTTTTCTCTGTCCCTCCACCACTGCAGAACTGTAGAAAAACTTCCAAGAACTTTGAAAAATTTTCAAGAACTTGGAAAAATTTCCAAGAGGTTTTCCAAAGCCGCCCGCGCGAGACACAGCTGCTTCCAGCCCCCGAAGCGCTCCTGGCGAGCGCAGCCGCTCTCTGCTTTGCTCCAGACCTTGGCACCAGTGCCCAGCTCTGCACAGGGCCATGGRACAGGGCCATGGGACAGGGATGGGACAGGCCTGGGTGGCCGGGGACAGCGGTGGCGGCAGGTGGCAGCAGCGGGCAAGGAGGGACAGCGGGTGCAGCTGGASCAGCGAGGGGACAAACGCCAACATTCAGAAGAAACGTCAAGTCTGCAGCTCAGAACCTGAACACCCTGCAATGCTTGTAAGAAATGTAACATCTTCATCCTCTTATAAAGATCATTCTTWGGCAAAAATGGAAGATGTATGTGCTAGAAGTACAGGAGCTGGGCAAGTGTTTTGTACCTGACACATAAATGCATGCAGAAGGGGACATGGGGACACGCATGACACGGAGACCCATCGACCCAAGACCCATCGAGTCTTGTTTTGGGCACAACACCGATCAGTTCTTGCAGAAGGGCTTTGCCACAAGGATGATGTGTTGTCTTTCTGACAGGACAGAAAGTAGCAGAGAAAACATCAGAGCAAGATTTCCCACGCAGTGGGACACAATGTGTGTACATCAGGTAGGATTTGTACAGTTCCCTTCCTAGGGTCCCTAAAAGCCCCCTCTTTGAGTGCCCATGCAGAGCCCAACTCCCATGTTTTATCCATCCAGAATTCTCCTCAGCAGATTTAAGAATAATGGGAAAACTTTAAGCTGCTGCAATAATTATTTATTGTAATTGTAATTATCCTAGCAGTGTGCTCAGGAGGATGAGCCAAGCCGAGGCACAATAGATGGTCTATTATTATTCAAATGAAACATGCTCAGGTACTGCCAATAAACCACGTCACGCAGCACCAYGTGCTTCTTGGTAAGCATCAGCACAGCTTATTAAAACATATAGAGACCTAAGTCTGCTCAGGATTTACAACAACATCCCTCGGAGCATCCCTCCCCGTCTCTTGCTTGAGCCTTTCAGTCTTTGCCACTCATACGGATCAACTCAACACTGCAAACAGCCCCTAGCATGAGGTTTTTTGCTGGCAGAATATGAGCAGAGAGAGTTTATATCTATCACACTGTGTCTGTAGCCGTCACTGAAGTTCTGAACAACTTTTAAATAGATCAAGTAATCTTTGAACATCACGTCTCAAACCAGAGCTTCCTGTTCAGGAGATTTTATTTATAGTTAGAGATGCAGATACAGATGCAGAGATACAGATGCAGACACACACATGAGCTTGTACAAGGGAGCGGTGGCTTCTCAGGAGGCCCTTGGACCATTGGGTTATTTTGGTATTTGTGATCTGAAGGTCTTGCCAGAGTCCCCGAAGCCAGAGACTGTTGTGTTGCACCCAGACAGAAGGTGACAGACGCTCTATAATCAAATTATAAAATGAGTCAAGTCATTTGATATTTGAAAGAAAGTGTCTCCCAAAGCTCATCACTTATTAAAACCTGAAGTCAAGAGCTGAATATTTATAGCATGTTTTTGTTCCTTTTTCTTGAGCTCTCTCGGCAGGCATTTTGTTCATCTGGCCTAAAAATTAGAGGATTTAAAATCAGAAAGGATCTAAAAATTAGATCCTTTAGATCCTTTTTTTTTTTTTTTTTTTCTCCCAGAAAGACCAAATCAAATCTGCTTTCCCAGCTTGATTTCCTCTTGGAATAAATTAAGAACTTTACCCTCTCATGTGCCTGTTTTTCTCCAGCTAAATAGTGTTTTGACCGTTGTTACCTTTGGGGTTCTCTCATGCCGGTTAATATTCTGTGCTACTCGCAGTCCATGCAAAAGAGATGCTCAGTACATCCCATTCCCAGGGCTGCTACACACGAAACCAGGATTCCCCGGGCCAAAACACACGTGCACGTATCGTCCAAGGGCTCTGTGTGCAGAGCAGGTGAATACCCGAGGGGTCTTATGGAGTTTTCTTGAGGTTATAAAGAGCTTCGAGCACAACCTATTAAGGCATAATGCTACAATTGGAGTTTTAGCTGTGCCGTGTCAGCAAGGGTGCTCGAATGCAGGTGTTCAACCCAGTTCTCTTCTAAATCCGCAGGGAATCAGCGCTCTCAAGTCTGGCACATTCAGGGGCTCAGGTTCACTCAAGGCCTCTCAACTTTTGCCAGGTTTTCCTCCAAATTTCTGCTGTGTCAGGTGCAAAACCCAAAAAATTCTCTCAAGCCTCWGAACAAGCTGTGGGAATTTAGCATTTTTAGGCCGTTGATGTCTAGGCCACTGGCTGGACTTGAAACTGCTTGAGATACACACRGTCCTAGGAGGAGACGAAAACTTTTGGACGTTGCATTGGCTAAAGTACAACTCAAATATTATACTAGGGTCCCAGTTGTCTTAAACTGCAGTGGTATAAATGGTAATTTATAAATAAGCACCTACATCTGACCTGCCTTAAGGAAAAAAAAAAAAAAAAAGGCTTCTTTCTTTAAAATTCTTTGAGGAGTTTTCTCCCAAATCACATAGAGCAACACCTCTTGCAAGGACAGATCAACCATAAGCACACCTGGGCTTATTATTAAATTCTGCTCATTGTTCCAACTTAGCTCATGAGAAGTCCTCTAAAGAATACAGACTGAATTTAGATGTGATAGACACACAAAAAAAAACCCACTTTTTTTTTTTTTGTTTTTTGTTTTTTGTTTTTTGTGCTACCTCAAGGCTTGAAATTTAGCAGCTCTCCACTCAAATGAGCTTCAGAGCACTCTCACTTCAAAGGGTGGGCAATGTTGTTGTTCACACTTTCCAGTGGAGCTGCTAACTTGGGAACTGAGCAAGCTACATCGGATCCGTGGCCCTTATGCTCCCACTGAGCACTAGTGGTCRGACACCTCCTTTGAACAAAACGAACTGGGCGCTATTTTAAAGACGTGCTGTTAAACTCTAAGCCTAGGAAGGATGCGTGCCCGGGCACGGTCCTTTTCCTGCCCATATTCTCCTCCTTTKGGGCACTGGGGGATGTTTCCGTGCTGCTTCTCAAGACAAGCAGCGCCACGGGGTGTCACCGTGCGCTGGGCCCGCGCCGCGAGCGGCACCCGCCGCTTGGAGCCGCATTTCCAAAGCAGACGCCATCTCCCCTTCCACCCCTCATGACTGACAAACGCACGGAGCGACTGCTGTAGTAGCCTCCTGCAAACAGATCCCACAGACACACACATCCCGGGGCGCTTTCAACGGGAGGGAACTGCATAAAGACTCCACTGAGGAGCTCCCATTCACTGCTGCACAAAGCGCCGCCGCGAACCTGCCTCGTGTTCCCCAAGTCACCGCGGCGCGGGGAGCGGAGCGGGCTGCGTGCCGGGACCCTCTCGACACAGAAAGGGCAAAAGAGACAAGACCTTTTCTCTCCAGTGTAAAAACAGGATTCAAAAGACAAGCGGAGAAGCTTTAATAAAGCCGGKGTGTTAAAGGAGAGGGGAGAGACCGGAGAAAATTCAGTGAGATCGCCTCTTTGCAGCTCCACCTCCTGCGGGCTGCTCCTTACTCCATTTCCCACAGATTTACTGAAATTTCATAGCATTTTTTTTGTGCCCCTTCCTAGAGCTGCTCAATGCATGAAGTTCCAGACACAGAAATTTCAGACATAGGAACATCACACACCCCTAGAAGAAGAAGCAGGGGCAGGAGCACTGGCTGCGCYGCCTCTGCTCTGCTTTACTGCTGTTCATGAGCTCCAGTGCAAACATCAAAAAATATTGTTTTATTACATAAGTAGAAGTATAAAACCATGGCTGGAGCTGAGCRTGATGGTCCTCAGGAAGCAGCAATTGGAAAAGAGATCAGCCCCGAAGTCAAGGGTGGCACAGGGAGACGCAGGAGAGATATGGGATGCTGCTGACGACGGAGCTCCAGTCGTGGTCTCCACCGAGGGCTCTCCAACAGGTCAATGAGACACGCAGATCCGACCTCTCAGCTGAAGCAGTGAGAAGGATAAGGAATTAATATTATRCTTGCAAGGATTGCTGCAGTACTTCTATATAACAACAATATCTGCAGAGGCAATGACTCAATCCCGAGGCAAACATACCTGGTGTTTGGTAGTACTTTTTCCCTATTGTTGAAACAGAAGTTACTGACTTGGCCTATTTTTACCTGCTTAAATAATAATTTTAAGCCAGAGGACACCATTATGAAAATCATCTTAGCACATAACATAGAATTTTAACCACAGAGTTTAATAGGAGGCAGTGTAAAGCGCCCAGAAAAGCAGTGCATTCATTCGCACACTCCAGAATAACAAGATTTTCCCCGCTAAAAAGATCACTTGCTGATGGGCTCTCGAGCAAGCGGCAAGCGGCTGGCCTGCTAYGCACCTCCCACAACCTGGGCAATTATATAACACGGGGAGGCTCGGCGATTGCACAGCCTCTTCCATTCCAATGCTTCCAATGATTTTACAAGCATGCAACAGGTCTCTTGCACAACAGCCCTCCTGATAAAGCGCTAACCCCGYGTTGGAATGAGAGGCTGAGGCACCGGCAGATTCAGGGACTCGGTCAGGGTCACGCTGGAGGATCCGTAGGAAACACTGGCGCCCTCCCTCTCATTATCTAATGGTAATTATCTACCAGGTAGYGTGTGCAGCTTCTTCCCATCACCTCTTCAGTGCAGATGACTAGGGACAGCCTTTTATTCCAGCTGGAAAGAAMGTGTATCAAACACGAGCGTGGAAATAGTGTATTCTGACACAAATACATCTCAGAGGAGATTGTGCTAGTGAGAGGTTGCAGACTTAKAGCCCCGTGGATCCTGAAGCAACTCAAATGACTTCCCTGAGCATTTATATGGTTTTTACTTTACCATTTCTCAGGTGGAACATAATACTCCCTTAATAGCACACAACAATGCTGCAAAGAAAGTGAAGAAATATATCCAAGGCTGGGACTGAGAAGGTGAGARTGAGAAGGGATTTAAGAACAAAAATAGGGTGCAACAGAGGCTTGGTCTAGAACTGTAGTTTGTTTTTCCCTGTTTTCCTGAAACACTACAATGAAAATCTGATTTGCTACTTAGCACAGAGCAGAGAATTTCGACCACAAAGGTCCTTAAACCTTTGSTTCCTAGAGCTGCTCTGCAGTTGCCTCCGTGTTGGAGAAAGGATGCAAACCAGAACAGACCCTTGGGCTGACCTAACAATGCARTTTTCAGAGTGAGAACATAAGGAATTTGTAAGCCAGGAAAGTATCCAGCCCACTGTGCCCACTAGCTAGTAATGACTCCATTAATTTGTTTAATCCTTTCATTCTGTCTACCCAGAGTGATTCTTACCCGTTTTAGCCTTCTTCTCAGAAGGCCTCAGCAGCTGCCAGTGTGAAAGCCTGGTAAAGCCCCATTGCTCTGAAGCACTGGGCTTGCTTCTGCTTCAGATGTTTGTTCTTTAATCTGTGTTGCCTCTCAGTGGCTATACATTAGGGAATCCTTCTCTGTAAGCTGCATGTACACCATGTGGAGCAAAGACCCCAGATTTAAAGACCAGAGGCACACYCCGTGTGAAAGTTACTGCAGAAGAATTAACTGAAGTACTGCAGTGGAAAACMAAATGTTGCTCTGTTCCTCCTCTTTTCCTTCTGTCTTCCTTCCTTTTTGTTTTGTTACTCTTTCCAAAGGCTGTTGATACAACACCTTCCTCATTCTGGTAAACAACCTCTTTAAAAGAAACTTGGAAGGGGGGAGAAACTGTTAAAGAGTCAGAGACTTTTTCCCCTTTTACTCGCTACCTGCTGGTCACGTTGCTGGCTTTCTGTGATGTTTTGGTGTAAAAACATCCCAAACCTAAAGCAAATTCACAAAATACCTAACAAGATCAAAGGAATGTCTCTGAAAACTTGTTGGGGTATCTTCTGGATGGGTTTTTCTACTTACAGGCAGCACTAAGCTATCAAACTCATCCCAATAGTGTTTCCTCTTGTTTCTTGTCAAAAAGAGAAAGGAAATGAAGCTAGAAAGCTAATAGTTCATCTAGAGAATGAATGAATGACTTAAAACACAGAATTCAGTTTTGATTTCATAATCACCYAATATTGAATCCAGTCAGCTCTGCTACACGAATGTATCTCTACATAACCTGAGATGCCAGATTAGGGAGGTAATATTTTTTAAACAGTAAGATAAAAAAATCACTTTTCAATCAGATCAGCTGCCTTATCTAGTTTGATACGTGGGTACACAATTGCAAATTCTGGCATCGGGCTGGGTAGGGAGTCCTGTTGGTGGGTGCCCATACTCTGGTTAATCCCAGTTTTAGCCGACATTCCCTTCATCTCTCAGTGGATGCTCTCTGCTGGAACAGCAAAAAAATGTCTGGAATCTTATGACCGGAACCAGAGCATTAAATTCTGAGTAAAAAGCAAAGGAAATACAGATTAAAAACAAACAATCAAAAGAGTGTGGGAGAAATAAAAAGGAGGAAACTTAGCCCATTTCCATGTTTATYGGATTTGAGGATCTGTTTCTGTTGTAATCCCAGAAGTAAAACACAAGGAGAATTACAGAGCATTTGTTGACAACAGACTATAGCAATGGGGCAAAAGAAACATGCTCTGGAGTGAATGTTCCAACAGAYCCATAAATCTAAACTTGAATAGACCATAACCATTGTGCTTCCAAGGCTCTTGCAAGAGAGCACAGCAGGACATATTCTCACCATAGCAATTCAGAAAACTGTGCCATCCAAGTACATTTCCACTCCCTGCAATACTAACCTCCCCCTGTCCTTGCTTCTTGAAGGAAAATGATATATTCAGTTCTTGAAATAGCACTTGAAGCCTGAGTCCCGGCTACAGTGCCACTCAAAAGTCTTCTTGTACTCCATCAATCCCAGGCGATGGCAAACATTGGTAACATCTCTCTTCTGCGCAGAGAGCTACTGAAAAATGGGCTCAGACCTGAAGGGAATACTCAGAGCTAGTCCCATAGAGTTAGTCCCAATAGAAGACAGTCCATTAAACACAGTGTCAATAGGACATCAACCTCCTTTTCCCTGAACCTGACAAAGAGCAACTGCTCCCGAAGGCCATTCTGCTCTGCCAACATCATTCACTGAAACCAATGGGCTGCTCCTTAGCTCCTATGAACCAGAATGACTCTTGGGTTCCCCTGTCTACTGCCACATCCTGTTTATTCAGGACAGACTGACAGGAAGACGGTAAAAGACTGACACCGCTGGGATCTCTGAAGGACAAGTATTACTTCTGTATTTCTTATAGAAGAGAGATATCTGCTTTATATAGATTGAGAAGTAAGCAGAAAAGCAAGAGGAGCCGCTCTGGGGAGTGCTATGCATCCTACTCGCACACAGACTACAGATGAAGTCTTTCCTGGCCAGGATCCCAAGAGATTACCAGGATCCAAAAAGACAGCGGATGCTGCAGTAACTGAGCTGCAGAACTGCAAAGATTTTATTTAGTCTTTGAAATGCTTAAAAACCCAAAGAGCTACTTAAGGTGTGAGAAAAGTGACTTTCCCATAACAGGACGTTCTTYCAAGGAATGAAAGACCCTCTCTTTGGAGAGCACAAGGTTAATTCCAGAAGCACTTYTGGTGATCCCAAAGCACTCCGCAAGACCCACCACAGCAGACTTGCTTTTCTTTTATGATCTGTGATGCTGCAGAGAAGAAGGGAGCTAAATGCTGCCTTTGGGAGCATGTGGACAACTACTGCAGCCCTCCGGCCTCCTGCTGCTCCTCCAGCTAATGAGTGACACCAGGCAGTGACGCAGCTGCCAGCAGCATCAATCTCCATAGGGCCAAATGTGCCACCACCACCGCACACGGGCTCATGGAGAACTTCTGCTTTCATGTGCTATTTACTATTAAGGATTATTTAAAAGCCTTAGTTTCCTGCCTCATGAAGGCAAAGAAGCAACCCATGTGCCCCACAAGCAAACGAAACTCCACTTAAAATGACCCATGCAATGGCTTTTTTCCAGTTTTTCATTTACTTTGTAGCGTTTTTGTTTTACAGCCTAGTTCTGTATCAGGAGTTAAGTGATTAAGATACATTACAGTTAGACTTTGAACCACAGTGGTCAGGAATCATTGGATATTGATTGAAATCTGAGGCCTGGCTGTTGGATTAGACCTTGGGTAAAGAAAAAAACAAATTAGGCCAAGAGTTTTGMTAATTAGGCTCCCAAACAGAGCTCAGCTTCAAGACCAGTCTCCGTATTAAGAGGATATAAACACCAGTGCATGCACAAGTTAATGTAGTTGTGTTATTAGAAGCAAAAACTATCTGCTTGTTCACTGTATTTCACGAAAATATGATATTCACCTTTTTATTTCTTTTTCTTTTAACTGCTAGTCCTTCACAGCAGAGATGATCTCTTTAGTTTATCCACAGCAACAGGATCTTGTTTGYGAATACTAATCTCAATGTGCTGTGTGGAAACTGTTTTTACTCCTAAGGACGCACTGGAGCTTTGAATCTAGGGGAGAAAAAGGCTGTTTAGAGGAGATTATAGAAAGACAGTGTCCTTAAAACATGAAGATAGATTAGGCTGTTCTAAAGTACTGATCAGGAAGACTTTGTCATATTCACTGTGTGCTTTAGCCTGTACTGCAAGAAATCCTATTTATTTCCACAGAACCAAGCACGTAGCAAGTTACTACCCACTAAAATTGGAAGCTACTATTCTTTTTGRATGTTGGATTTAGACATAGATAATTTGCACTTCAGTGCAGCTGAGTACTCTCTCTTGCTTCTTGTCTGGATTCATCAGTTTTGATTATCAGGGCCCTGTCATGAGGTTTTTAGAACCTCGTTCCCCCAAAGTCGGCATCCCATTCATACGGAGAATGTCTTTTTGGGGCAAACATTCTCTGGATCTCTATTTTAGGCAAATATATATTGACGATGYTTTAATCCCCTATTTTCAAGTTGCTTTTATGTGACAGCATTTTGATCACGATCTTAGCTGTGCTGCTGGGAAATGTTTGGAGGAAATCAGGAGAGCGATGCAGACACGATTGCATTACTCCTTTTTAAAGTTATCAACATWTTAACATCCAAAACACCATTCACACAGCTGTTTGGCAGTGCTCATCTACTTCTGTGTTTGGGCCATGTAGGCGGAGGACATACCTTTACCTTGCAACACAAACAGAAAACTAAAAATGAAAAGAAACAGTGTCCTATTTCTCTCTCTTTACTTCCCATATAGTCAAAACAGTAGAGTTTGAGTCTCCTGCGACCACAAATGACCCCCCTGTATTCCAGACTGCATCAAGTATTTCCCTGAAATCCTGYTCTATCTTCAGTTTTTCAGTGAGGAATGCTAGTGCCAAGCCAGCATACACAAAAGCCTAACTGACCGTATCAGGAGCAGCCTAGATTATCTTCATGATCTAATATGCACTAGTTGGTGCACTGTCATTCTCTGCAAACCAGACTTCTCATAGCTGCTTGCTTGCTCATGCATATTATTTCAGATTGACTTTGGCTGAAAATTTTTGCCTCAGTTAGGCAGCGATTTCCAGCTGAGCAGCTCACCCCCCTGCTGACCTGCTTTTTCTGGGGTGATGGAGTACCCAGAGTCTGATCTCAAAGGACAAAATGGTGAAGAGAAATAAAAATATTGACATTCGGACCCATTTTTTCYCCTTTGGTGAATATCCATACCCTTTGGTTCTTCCAATATCTCAGGCCAGCAAGAAAATTCCCTTGTGCAGATATTTATAAACTTGGCCACAACACTGGGAAAATATATTCATACATATATTCAACCATCTATGCATTCAAATACTTAAATTTCTTACCGTTCAGTTTGAATAGATACTACCGGAAATAGATCCTCCTCTCCCTCCAATTTCATATTTAATATTCTAAAAAATGTTTACCCTTATTGACCATTAAATCCAACTCTCAGCCTGCACAAGGCAACAGCACAAGTCTTCAGAGCTTCCTGCAATTAGCACCCCTCGTTGTGCTCAGTAATCACCTGCCCTGGGACCTCACGGGGCTGCCACGCTGCTCTCGTCACTACAGGGGAAACTGAGGCACGACACCGAGATGACTCAGATGCCACATCCATCATGCACCAGCCATTCATCTCCTCGTCATCTTTTTGCATTTGACTCTGGCCAACAAACCATTTGTCAGCAACCAATACCACCAGAACAGCTGCTTTTGCTCCGGGCCACCAATGGCAAGTTACAATGCATTATCACTAAACTTCTTATTCACTTATCTATTTATTTACAGAGAGGAGAAGTTCTTTAATTAACCAATCTTGCTCAGAAAACACTTGAGCTAAACTTCTTACGAGGAACTGGGGAAGACGAGATTCTGAGTGTGCTGGGGGTACTTTGTGCATGGTATTTTTGTAACTTTTTGTTTCACCTTTGCTTCCTCTTCCACAATTTGCTTGAGAAAAGTAGGCAGAACTGCCCCTTTCTTCACTTACTGTCAGTTTGCTACCTGAAGGATTCCCTTGCTGTCAWTAATCATTTTTTCTGCTAGTCTCAGAAAATTCTTGACTTCTTTTCAGGGCTCCTAACTCCCTGATCATCTTCAGGTGACTTTAAAAAAAAATGTCTATAGACAAAGCTAAAGTTCTTCAATGCATTTATTAAAATAATGGCTCAGCTTTCCTAATTTTATGAACTAATCATAATAAAGATCTCCATGTATGATTATCTGCAGGAAAATTCAAAATTCCCATTCTCAAGCGTGCTAAGCCTCTCTGCACTACTATCCCTGAAATCACTGCCAGCTACCTGTGAAAACTGTAAAAACATTCAGTACAATAGATCCATCAGGAGCCACTTGGTGTAGTGAGAGCAGATGGGAAAAGAGCCCTCTTACAATTTTAGCAGTTTCTCTAAGATGTAGGTGTCTCCAAGAACTGTGTGTAGCCAGGCTGCTCAAAACGAAAGAAGGAAATTCTGCCAGTATAACTTTATCCCGGATTATGTAACCTAGCCCTGATGACTTATGGCTCCCTGCTTGATTTATATTAAATAGTTGTCAGTCATGGCCAAATTTCAGGACTGCATGCTTGATAAATCATGAGCAATGTTACATTGCATTGGGGTAAGCAAGTGCTTATTTCAAAGTTGCCAGCGCTATGCAATTCCAGAATACTCAGAAAACCAGTTGTGTGGTGCACAAGGGTCCAAAACAGCTGTGCCCTCAAGCTCCAAGCCTCTGACCTCAGGTTGCAGCAGAGCGCTCAGCAAAACCCATTTCTGCTCCCCCTTTGATCAAGGCTTGATAAGGGAGTTGGATTTAAGTATTCTACTTATCAGAGCAGCACTCAGACACGGTCCCATTGTGTGTTGCTATTTGACTCCTTTCAATATTTCAAAAAGTCAAGGGCATGTGAGGAGGAACTTCTTCATTGTGAGGGTGACAGAGCTCCGGAACAGGCCACCCAAGGAGGTTGTGGAGTCTCCTTCTCTGGAGGTCTTCAAATCCCACCCGGATGCCACCYTGTGCCCCATGCTTGGGTGTTCCTGCTGGAGCAGGGGGTTGGACTGGGTCATCTCTAGAGGTCCCTTCCAAGMTCAACCATCCTGTGATCCTGTGAATGAACACTTCCCAGCAGTAGGAATGTGYAAGACAGTCTTTTCAGTAGAGGGGATAGTGTCATATTTCATTCTTTGTTTTATAGCAACTGTACAGGGAAAAAAAAAGTCCATGTTTTACCACTATTACCTAATACGCACTTAATAGCCTAGTGATCAATGCAGGGGTTACAAAAGAGTTTTTTATTTATTGTAGCTTAAGATAGCAGTGATAGTAGCTCAGTTCCTTTCTTTGCTTGGGAACTGATTTAAGGTATGTTGGAGAATTTAACGGATGTAACCAGCACCTTCCTCCTTTGGGATCTGTCCAAGGGAGAGCAGCCAAGCAAAAACCTTCCTTGTCACTGCACTCATCCCTTTCCCTTGTCCCCAGCATGGAGGGCCAGCCCGCTCCACACCAGGAAGCAAGGCCTTGATCAAGGTCTGGGAGCAGAGTTTGATGAAACATCTTATTTATCAGAGCAGTATTTGGACACAGTGGAATTGGGCATTGCTATTTGACTACTTCTAATGCTCAGGAAACTCAAGAGCATGAGGAATGCACATTTCCAAGCTGTGGGAAGGCACAGGAAGGGCTATTTGGGAGTGGGTGGCAGGAGCGAGAGCCAGGCCTCCCCAGGCTCCAGGGCCTCGCACTCCGCCTAGCCCGGTGGCGGGAGGCGCCTGCAGATCCCGCTGATCCACGGGCTGCCCCACTTCCCTCCTGGGCCAGGCCGCCCGCCGCCATCTTAAGGGCCGGCCGCGGGGCCGGGAGGGCAGCGCCTCAGCCGGGCGGGCAGCGCCGCTACCAAGATGGCGGAACTGTCGCACCGGCGCCGGCGCCGCCACCAGGCTCCGCGCGTGCGCAGAGCGGCGCGACGGCGGCCCCCGAGTGCGGGGGAGGAACGCCCCGCTGTGACGCGCGTGACGGGCGTGTCGGGCGACCAATGCGGTGCGCGGGGGCCGCGGCAACGGCCAGTGCGGCGCGCGGGGCGGGCCCGGCGCGGGGGCGGGCACCATGTTGCCGGGCGGCGCGGCGGCTTTTGCGGCGCTCGGGGCGGCGCCGGCGCTCAGTGTGTTTGGAGCCGGCGAGCGGGCGGGCGGGGCGCGGCGCGAGCATGGGGGTGAGGTAGGAGCGGCGCGGCCGAGCGCGGCTCCCGAGCGGCGCGGCGGCGGCGAGCGGGGCCGCGCGGGCTGCGTGTGCGGCGGGCGGAGGATGGAGGAGAAGAAGGAGGAAGGCGAGGCGGAGATCCAAGAGCACGGCCCCGAGCACTGGTTCAGCAAGTGGGAGCGGCAGTGCCTGGCCGAGGCCGAGCAGGAGGAGGCGCTGGCGCCCGAGCTGCAGGACGAGGCGGCGGCGCAGCCCGAGCACAAGCAGCAGAAGCTCTGGCACCTCTTCCAGAACTCGGCCACGGCCGTGGCGCAGCTCTACAAGGGTGAGCGCGGGCGGGCCGCGCCGCGCCGGGCGGCGGCGCCACAAAGCGGCCCGGGAGGCGCGGGGGCTTCCGGCGCGGCCCCGTGGAGGCCGCGGGGAAACAAAATGGCGTGAGGGGGGGGGAGCGGCCGCCGGGTGCGCCCGCGGCCTCGC